CCTCCTCCGGCTTCTTCAGGGGGTGTGGGGCAGTCGTCGGAGGCTCCTTCCAAGGCATGGCAGCCTGGATATCTTCGCATGCTTTCGGATGCTTCGCACTCAGGCCTCAGGAATCACAACATACGACTTCCTTGGGAAGTTGGGGTTAGCGGGGAAATTTTCGGGAAAGCCAGGAGGACTTCGGAATTTCCTAAGCATCCTTATCCTCCCGTGTCCCCGCCTCCCCTCTTGGACCCGAGTTCCGAGATCGTGTCTCCGGGCGGGAGCCAGGCTTCCAAGACCTTGCCGCTGCTTCAGCATAAACCTGTTTACGCATCGGCCCTCAGGCTTTGCAGTGAGTTGAGGCCTCCTGGCCGGACATCCGATGTTTGCATCTTCAAGAGATGGCTGTGCCTGCTTGCGCATAATTGGAAGGGTTCCGAGTCAGGCAAGTGGTTGTGCCAGCTTTCGGAGTCTGAGACAGAGGCAGGCATGCGCACCATTCTCGGAGGCAAGTCGAGGTCCACTCTTGACAAGAGGGCGAGCCGAACTTCGCACATGCTTGTGTTTGCCACCCGTCGGAAGTGCTACCTTTTCCCTCTTTCAGAGGAGGTGGTCATTCCATACCTCACGGAGCTGGACAAGGCTGGGAAGAGGTCCGCCGTTCTTGACACGAGCCAAACCATGAACTTCTTGATACATGTGCTCGGCGTTTTCTTCATTTTTGACATTCCGAAGCACCCCTGGGTGAAAGGGCTGGTCAGGAAATGTGAGCAGGAGCGCCCTCCTCTGAGGCAGTCGCGAGTGCTCACTGCCAAGGAGGTTTTGGCCCTCGAGACTTTGTTCATAGAAGGAGATCTGCAGCCGCTGGACCGATACGGTCTAGGATGCTTCTTGTTCATGATACTGTCATGCAGCAGGGTTTCGGATGTCAGTTTCTTGGACAGCATGGTTTTGGACATCCTTGAGTCCCTTGAAGACCCTTCAAATCCTGGGTATTTGGAGGTCAAGACGATGCATCACAAGACGGAGCGAGTCAAGAGTAAGCAGGGCATTCCCTTGTATCTCGTGGCCCCCGTCCGAGGTCTGCATCATGTTGCATGGGGCCCAATCTTTTACAAGCTTTGTGAAGAGAACCACATGGG